GAAATACCTTTTTTAAAAACCACCAGTTCTTCTAGTACACATTTGCAAGTGCTCAGTCGTAGACGATTCCATGCACCAATCACTCCAAACTTATTATACAAAAACACCGTCTCGTCCGTGTCGAAATCATCGAAAAAATTCAAGTTCAAATAGTTCTGAAAACACTTTCTTTCGACTTCCTTCCGAACCAGCGAAGCAATAGAGACTAAAGACGCAACCAGAGTGTCCAAGTTGCATGTCAAAGAGACCGAAATTTCCGAGTGAATAAATTATACTGAAGTACGGAAAGATTCTTCAATGCACGTTTCCCCTTTTTTCGAAACGTATCATTTTCTTAGTAGCACGTGAATATATTACCAGCGTGGAAGAATATCGATCGGTTCAACATCGTCCACCATGTATTTATAGATGAATAAGTAACGAGGCAATTATAGGTACCGTCATTGGTTTCAGTGCCGGTTTGCGAATTTTCGCTGTATTTCGAAGAACATCATTTCAAGAGAAAACGTTGCTTTTTGAGGTTGGGAGTGGAGCCAAAGGTTGATAGACACCTTGGTGTCAGTTGAGTTAAAACCACTGAAAACGATGGATGAATTAAAGGCGTATTACAAGTTGAGCATATTTCTCATGTCGATGATTGGCCTCTGGCCGTACCAGAACGCGAAACTTCGACTATTCCAAGTTTGCTTTATCAATATCTCGAACGGATATTTTTTTATAGTTCAGGTACAGGAGCTTTATCTGACGTATTAGATCTTACATTTAAGTTTGCTATACGTGTGTAACTTACACGAGAGTGTCGTTAGATGTTTCTCTCGAATGAGTCTATTAATTTAGCGACTTTCAAACGACTTAAACTTAAACTGCTTCATATACGAGACGAACGTGTTTCATGAATTAATTTTGTGAGACCGTTGCCCTGAAACTTTATTACTAGTTCATTACTAGATACTGCATTACTAGTATGAGAAATGCATGTTGCGCACTTTGGCAAAACGAAATATGACATTATTATATTAATTAATGGGTTATATTAAACAAACATTATGTAAATATTTTTTGATGCTTTCCATATTACTGTACTCCATAAATGCATAAAATCTGCACTCGATACAAACTTTTACAATTACTTGTCATTTATAATAGATACAGGTGTCCAATAAATATCAATTTTCAACTCATGTCTATTAATTCAGTATCTTAAACAAAAGAACAGATCCATTCGATCCGCCAAGCCTTCTGTTTTATTCGTTGACTGTTTTCTGGACCAACGTTTTCGACCAAACGCGTTCATCTACAGATACAACAACACAATTCTTAAAATTCTTAAAATCTATAAAAGTACAGGCATTCATATATTTTTTCGTGGACTTTAAGAATTTCGTTGAAAGAGTTGCCTATGCAATGAATAATAAACAAGATAGTTAACACTGACCAAGTTGAGCTGCGATATTTATCAAAGATAGAGGTCTTCAGTATTAAATAATTTCGTCGACGCAAACCGGAGCTCACGTCCGAATCGTATACTCGCATGAAATTTAACACGCTTCTTTCAGGTAATGATATTCAAAACCATGAAGTTTACGATAAATCTTCTATTGAAGAATCTGTCGACGTTGCTAATGTTCCTGGGCTCTGTCGTAAAGTACAATGCGTTTTGGTATCACTCCAATACAGTGAGTTGTAAAAATTCCCAGTTACGTTAACGCTTGATGATCACTGTGTAAAGACGATTACAAATCCAGATTAAGGACTTTATGGAACGCACGAAACACGACTGGAGCACGAAACACGAAGACATACTTAAAATCTTAGAGACTCGGACCACTGCGGGAAAGTATCATGCGACGTGCTACGCTAGTAAGAAACCTATTTCAAGTATTAACCTTTGCTCGGGAGTTGAAACTGTGAATAACACGAGGCAAGGGGATTAGGCTACCAATTGAAATAAAATTTCACAAAATCAGGAACGCAGGAAACTTGAAAAGATACTACTTTTCTCTGGACTAAGAAATGAATTTATTTTTCTAATATTCTTGTTGTTTAAGATTTTGTAAATATTCATTAATAGATACTTCATTATATATAATAGTACAAATAAACTTACGAACTTATTAAAGTTTATATCAAACAATTGGACTGGAAACAAATTATGAAATTTAACGTTTCTTCTTGACGACTCGCGCGTTAGACATGTAGAAGTGACTCGTAGAGCAGCGGGTAATCTGATCGGTCGTCAACTTATGACCTCTTGCATAATAGTCTAGCCGATATTAACAGCGACTTCACGGGCTTGTAATCCCATAACCACGAATATGTTACAGTTTTTGTTCTGCCGTCGGCATTGTTTGTCACTACATGTCACATAGCATCTCTTATTCTAATCAAAGAGACTGAGAACGGGACTCGAACAAACTATTTTCCAATAATGACGGAATACATGATCGACGAGGAAAAGTACCTGTACCCCATTGTATTCCATCAGAACTTATCTTTGCTCATATGCGCAAGCGTATTCATGGGTACGGAAACATTGTACATTATGTGGCTGCATCACGCCGCCAGCCTGTTCGAAATCTCTAGGTAAAGAGTTCTAATTACTCTATGGAAGTCTCACAAGCAAAGCACATTAATCATCGCACTGTACAGAACCATTGTTATCCTATCACTTTGCCAGAGTTCCTTTGGCAGCACATTGTTTATCTAGGCGTCACGGTTTTATCAAACAGCAATGTATTCATATCGTGGATAGTTCATCCGTCAGTTATGAATTATTCATGAATAGTCAGTGCATCGTACGGTGTGTAAACAAAGGAGCTTGGGTTTTCGATGCAATTCTGAGTAAAAAAAAGTTGCTGATCAAGGAAGGTTTTCTCAAACGAAGCACCATCCGACATTTTT